TGAATTCAGGACTGTCTAGACTATTTGTGACCCTTCTGAAGTCCCGCCCCTTTTTACTCTCTGCTCCAAAAACAGTTGAGCAAGCCTCACTCAGAACCTCTGTCAAGTTCCTCCTTTCCTGTTCTTATGATATGTGCTAGGCTTATCTATGATGAAAAGACAAACACATTTTGAAAATGGTTAAAAGATAGGATAGACGTGTGTGTCATGGATAAGCCTAGCACATAACATGTCTAAGTACAAGAAAGGAGACAGGTTCCAAAAGGGGCGGGACTTAAGAAAGGTCAGTTACTTTTTCATGCGTCTGGCTTCCTTTGATTATTGACTCGACAAAGGGTACATTCATGGACAAACATTAGACAGTACACAGTCCAAAACAAACACGAGCTACACACTTGTCTCTACTACATGTGAATGGTAATCAGCAACACAGCAGGCTGGACAGATCCACATTGGTCTAACCAGTTCTAAACATGAAGAGGTCATCCAGAATTCAAGTTAATTCCGGGTTTACATGTTCAAGTAAAGTAACAGACAGTTCTATTATTACACTGTGACCACAGAGGGTTGCACAATGATAGAATCAGTCATCATATGGACAGTATGTGTAGGATAAGTTGAAAATACTGAACAAATTGGGGCTTCCCACACATCAGGCCATCTAACATCACTGTCAATTGGCAGGCCCTTTTACGTACTCCACTGCCAGTCCTGCGAAAGAATAAAAAGGGAATACAAAGCAAAATTATTGAATAACTCTTGAATTCTTTTAAAGTTAAGTGCTTATTGAGCCTATTGTCAAAATAAAATGTATCATATTTGATATTACATTAGGAATAATATATACATTAGGAATTTATGCAAATGTATGGATTGCCACAATTTTTATTTTAGAAACAAAAACAAATATGAATTACATTTTCAACATTTGGAACATTTCAATTGGTTTGGTTCTTTTTTTACAACCTTTTTATTTCACTGTGGTAAGGAAAAATGTTTTAAATTACCTTTAAACCTTTTATTAGTTTAATTAAATAATCAAAGAAATACGAAAGTGTAAAATGCATTGTGGTAGGCATAAATGCCGATTGTATTATGACATGCAATACAATGACAATTGTGGGATTTATAGATAAATTACCTTTTATATCTGCTGTATCATATTTGATACATACATTTTCAACATGCTTTTACTATAAAAGCAAAAATAACTACCTGACAACAGGCATTTTAGAAATGTCCTCCAAAGCCCCTTACTTGCCTGCACAGATAATGCACCAGAGGACAGAATACACATGTGGGTTTGTATCCAGCTGGATTTTAAGGAAAGTAGTATGACATAGAGGTTTCAGAAACTCATGTATCAAATACAACACAATTGGTGTTATAGGGTTAAAAAATTAACCAACAAAAAAAAAACATTCTTAAGGGCCCTATGGATAACAGACCACTGGTGTGATAATATAAGGGAAGATATTGGCACTGCTCCACAATCCAGCACCTTAAATAATTTCCTGTAATGCATTACTGCTCCATTTATGCTGTAGTCTTGTGAGGATGAATTTTTTTGGGAATGCTACGAACCACACACCTTACATTGCGTTCATGTCATGTTAAACTGAAATGTTTGCTGAAGATTCACCAGTTTTAAATCAATATTCAGATTTAGTACTTTGGAGAAACAGTGCTGACGTAACTGCTGGCCAGCTGAGGCTAACACATCGTATTTTAGTACTCTACCTATCCCATCTTTGCTGTGGTAAGGATAATTTCAGGTAATTCAAGGTAATTTCTATGTTATGATGTTTATCAGTAAGATCTCTGACGTATTACTGGCCTCCATTTCCCAACACACAAAGAGTTGTGTCTCTTCCTTCAGTTAGCATCCAAATTTGGAACCTTTCTATTTGCATCCTTCCCTGGTACATCAAAATTAAAAGCTTTTTCATGTTTGTCAAAGCCAATTTTGCTCTGAAATGATTCCAAGTTAAAAGCAAAGGTGACTGGGAAACACTTCCCACATTGCCACATTGCAGACAGGACACACGTGTGTGTGTGTTGGAAGATCAATGGGGAAATGAAATGTCAAGGCCTGGCTTTTGCTGTGCACCTGCTAAAAATGTACTGCCACCATTAGATGACTGTCCCACTGCCATGCAGCATGACATGACAGATCCAGTTTTCCCCAATAATTATGGGGTAAAATCTTGAATTCAATGTTGTTTGGATGTGAAAAATTCTTATCATATCGGACGTTGTAATGCTTTTTTATCATTTAATGTAACGAGTTAAATAAAGAAAAACTCATTCATGGCATGAATAGAAAATATATGAAATCTGTGACCCCTATTAATCTATTTTGGCACTGATAGATACTTTAGGCCTTAAAGCTTATAACAATAGTAATAATAATTATGACAATATCTTAATAAACTAACAACATGATGATACTATTAATTAATTAATGAATACTATCAAAGTGCTAACTTTTGCATCTACTACTATAATAAAAACAGACATTTTCCCCCTCAGGATGAATTGTAAGAACTTTAGTGATCCCTTAACTCTAAATGTTGCACCATTACAAGCCAGAACTTCAATATATTTAATACTTTGGTTTATGATCATATACCATTCAAACTACTGACATTTCCGTCAGCCTCAGCTGCACTTTGTGTTTTGTGCCAATAAGCAAATATAAATATATATAAATATGCTGAACTAGGATGACGACCAGAGTATTTGCTGAGACCTGGGAACATCACTAAAAACAGGTCAGATGGGGCAACAAACATAAGCAGTCAGACAATAAGAGAAGTTGTTAAAAAAAAAAAAGTGCAGTGATAGTCTCAGTTTTATCTCCAAATGAAGTGAAATCAGTAAAGGTCAACACCAGTAAAATAAGGTTAAACTGAGAAAATAACAATCTAAAGTAAGGACAACAAGTAATAAACAAATAGCAAGAAACATTAACATAAAAATACTTTAAAGTTCCTTTTAGAAAAATAAATGAATGCTTTGACTATCCATTGTGAGGTAGTTTATAGTTTCTCTCGCCTCTGTTTTCATGCTAGACATACGCTATTATAACATCATAACTATTTACAGCAGAGATCAGACCCAAACTTGTAATGAAGAGGTTGGCTATTTGGTTTCCAAGTTGGGTTTTGAAAAGTAGGCATTCTCAGCATGAAGTAATACTGCATCACTGGTAGTGATCAATAATGCTATCGACCCTGAAAATAAATGCATTTGCTGTCAGGTTGTAAAAATCTTATTTGACCCTATTGTACTTTTAATCAAAGACTCAAAATATACGTCCTGCAGCATCAAATACGTGACCAGCCACAGTAAGACAAGATTTCCCCTGAGCCCCTACCCAACTGACCTGGCAGTGTGCCACGAAGCCTTCCTCCTCCCACTCCTTCTCCTCATCTTCGCCCATCTTGTCCTCCTCTCTCAGCCCTTTGCCTCCTCTCTTCCTCCTCCACATCATGTTCTCCTCCGCGGGAATCAGTCTTAATGCCAGCCACCTGCATTTCAGAGCCTGCTGCTTCCCATGCCAGCAGACAATGCTGTTCTTGTATGAGCAGCGCCCAAAAACTATACTCTCTCCTCCACCACAGTAACATTTAGCCCACGCATGTGCTTCAAAACTTAAGGTTGTCAGTCATTGTTTAGCCACACATACTGTACATGCTACTAGTGCTACTTCTCAGTTCTCAGCTCCAGAGTGATAGAATTTATAACCCCGCTCTCTCCCCTCTTTAGCTAAACCAAGACGAAACCCTTAGAAGTCTCTCATCCACAATGTAAGCTCCTCACACTCATACTCCAGCCCCCAGCTTAAATCCCACTTTGTGAGTCAGGTTTTCATGACTCTCTGTCAAGAGAGCGAGGACATCACTGATGCAACAGATCCGTCTACATACTTAATGCTGACACAGCAGTGTTGCACTAATTTAAATGTAGAAATGAGGAAACCGATCCCACAAATTGTAGGAAGTGTTATCCAAACTTGTCTAAAGAAAAAACAACTGCCAATCTTTTGATTAGTGGATGGACCCACTCTACCTCCTGAGCCACAGCTGCCCCAATAACATAGCATCATGATTACATGTCTGACCTACTGTGGCTACCACTTGGAGAACCCAAAAGAATAACCCTGTCTCTCTCCCAAGTCATCATATACTGCCGCTTGGTCAGTGGCCCCCCGCTTCAAAATAGTCACCATAGGTTACCCTCTAGTGTCATTACTGGACGGGCCAGCCATCAAAGACAGGTGACGTAGTATAAAGAGCAAGAAAGTAGAAAATATTTTTCTTATAAACCAACCTAACAAAATTCTCTGAAACTGCTATCAAACCAAAAACAGAGTGAAATCAGTGGCAGTACCATTGTCTGAAAGAACACCTAACTTAATGCAGCTAACCGCTAGCTCAGCGCTAGCTTTGGTTAATGTGTTTAACTGTATTATGCACCTGAAGGAGTGCTAATGTAAATTCTAAGCCAATTGTTAGTTTGGTTAAGGAACAGCTCATAGCAGGGTAAAATATTTAAGGTGCATTGCACTTATTTTGTGTTAATATTAAAATCATTCAGCTTTAAATTGTTTGCTTGTTAGCCACGGTTAGCAACCAACCAGTCTAGCGTGTAGTTGTTGTTGTTGTTGTTGTTATACGTCATCTAACGCACGCCGGTAAACGTCCCATGCTGCGTTCAGGCAGGCTCAGAAATTCTGAAGCCTACAGAACAAACATCGGTTATAAAAATCCGATACCGATAATTCCTGATATTACATTTTTTATATGTAATATTATCGGACATCCCTAGTAAAAATCCTCCAGGCTGAAGCTAATGTTATTCAGGCTCATCAGCCCTGACCAGTTCACACACACTGTAGCACAGTACAAGCCAGGCCAGTCCAACATGAAGTCAGACCAGTGTCCCAGCCTGCCCCCCTCTGTGTCCTCTCACACTCCCTCTCTTTACCCCTGCAGTTCGTCGTGTGCCTCCCCGTTTCTCCATCCCCCCCACCAATCATGAGGTGATGCCCGGGGGCAGCGTCAACCTGACCTGCGTTGCGGTCGGGGCCCCCATGCCTTATGTCAAGTGGATGAGCGGCGAGGTGGAGCTGACCCGGGAGGAAGAGATGCCGATTGGCCGCAACGTCCTAGAGCTCACCAACATCCGACAGTCTGCCAACTACACCTGTGTGGCCATATCCTCCCTGGGCATGATCGAGACCACGGCCCAGATCACTGTCAAAGGTCAGGAACACTCTCAGAGAGGGCAGTGGAAAGGTTGGAAGCAAAAAACAAAAACATTTCTGAATCGTTTGTTTGTGAATCATTTGTAAATAAATGCAGTTGATGTTTAAACATTAGCTTTTTTCTAAATGTTTTTGTTGGTGATTGCGAAGTTTTTTTGTGCAGCTGAATGGAGGCCCAAGGATACAAATGTTAAAATGTTGAAATGATTTAATCAAATTGAATTTTTTTCAAAGGAAGTTCATTCTTGACCACAGGAACAGCATGTGTGGCTAAATAATTTTACGTCCTGTCACTAGCTTTTTTTGTTGTTGTTATTCTTAGAATATCTCACTGTCGCATGCAGTTGGAAGTTTGAAAAAGAAAAATTTTATTTGAACTAACTAGCTAACCTGACCTGAGTTTCCAACGACAACTTCCCAAATGCTTGTGCAACAAACCATTTGGAAACGAGCAGACACTTTCAGTTTCAACCAATCAGATCAATGAACCATATAACATAGTCAAACTCTCACTCAAGTCAGTTGGGAGAAGAATGAAAAGATCTTTTCCTTGGAGAAAAGCCTTCAGTGCTGTTCTTTGCTCTTCTTTCAGTAAAGAAACACTCTCCAGTTCTGACAGAACCAATGCTAGCAGCATCTACGCTAACCTCTAGCAGCAGCCACCATTGTTGTTTTAAAGGGATTCATATTTTTCCTGAAAATAAGACATTTTCTATCCCAGGGACAGAAGCACACCATCTCTAGAATCTGGGAACTGCACTGTTTTTTAACATTGAACTTCAGCTATAGTTAAAACACATGCAATGAGGAATATTCATAAACCTATGGGTACTCAACCTGACAGCTTTAATGTATTATTAGGTGGTATTAATAATTATTTTGGCCTAACCCTATCACACATGCTGTCACACACACCTAGCGCTACACCATGCCTGTAGCTGCCAGTAGTAATTTAAAGGATGCTGATAGGTCAGAACCACTGTGGATTTTTGCGTGATCTTGTGATTTTTCTTAGCAAGGTTACCATTTTTTGCCATTTATGCCACGCTATCATTGGTTTAATGGAACACAGCTCGCGGTACCTGTAACACAATCTGCTTTCCATTAGTCCATGCTGCTAGTTAGCTACACTAGTGACCACAACAAGTAGGTGCTTGACTTAATTTGCCAATGTGTTCACACAGGAACTATGTCTGTATATATGCAAATATAACAGGGATATTCAACGGGTACTGGGGTATTTACAGTTGGCTTCTTTCAGTGAAATCTGTCAGTAATTAAAATTACTGGGTGGGATATAACATCTGTATTGTGGAGGAAGACAGCAGAGGACATCTGGCCTGAAACATCCGGCTTGTGATATTGGGCTTGTTTTTCAAAAGAGTTGCTGTGATAATGGACAACTTTTTACATACAAGAGGATACAGCTAGTGATAATTGAGTACATATCATTTTTCTTAAAGAACTAACCCTTAAATGGGGATCACTTTCTGATCTCCTCAGCCTCAGTGAAACAGTGACAGTGGGGTCAGATACAGTATGCAGGAAGATTTCCCACTTGCACTCGCTGATGGAGCGGCACTTAATATCAATATTTGAACATGTTTGGACAGCTTGATGAGAGCTGCAGTGCGAAAGCAGAATAATCTGCTGTTCCTTAATCCTCTGTGTGATGGCCTTCGCAAAAAGCAGAATACATTTATGTAAAAATAAAATCAAGTATTGTTTCAGTTACATAATGAGCATGATGGCATACAGTCTTATTTCCATTCATTGGAGAAAAAAAAACAGTAGGCTACTGAAACTTTCCTATTGTATTAATTACTGTGAGAAAGAAACATGTTTAATTAGTTGGATCTGTATTGCTTTAGGTTGTAGATATATAAGAATTATGGATTTCAGACTGCAAAGAGCACCAAGTAGATATAAGACAAAAGGTAAAAGATAAAAGGCTCTCAGAAATACATAAGTGTTGCAGATCCTCAGGGAAATGCCAGTAGACAAACTCATAAAACAGCTTCAATATCTGGCATTCATTCCTGTGTGTGTACAAAAATATATTAAATAAACATTAATGTAATGCTATTACTATGATGTCCTTACCGATGTGTCTTTTGCAGTTCAGTGCATTATCTGTCTTTATGGTGGACTGATTTTGTATGTAGAACACCAATACTATTATAATACTTTGTACCTTTACACACTGACATTTTTTTTACTTTGACTTGACTCAAAATCATTCAGTTAATGATTCATATTAAATATTTTAATCTGAATTACCATAATCCCATTCATTTCACTGATGTCATTTCATTTCCAAGTGCCAAGGTCTTGCTCATGGTGGTACTGTTTGGGTCTCTGTAAATAATCTTATAAAGAGTTCAGTCTAGACCTGCTCTATTTGAAAAGTGTCCTGAGATAACTTCTGTTGTGAATTTGCGCTATACAAATAAAATTGAATTGAATTTAATTTAATTGAATTTCACTATATTTTTATATATTTTTAAAATTCAAATTACATTCAAGGCAGAGAGAAAGCCTTATCCATTTAATTTGATAGTGGGAGCTAATGTGGAGTAAAAACACTAAATTTAAGGTGAATGAATCGACTGTTTCTTTTTAGTCAACATCAAGGTGACAACATAATTGCGATGAATGATACTGACTTTCTGTGGTTTCGAAAGACTCCATGTCAGTATTAAAGTGAGTTTAGTGAATTCATTGAAAGTCCCTGTCAACACAGGCTGAGAGAGAACGCAGGGTCAACCCCAAGGATCTCATTCTCATCACAGGAGGATCCCTCGTAATCAGGGTCCTCAATCTCAGACACACTCTCCTCTACTTGACTGACAAAGACCTGAGACAACACCTTGTGAACCTTTGCTTAGAGGTCATTTTCAACGGAGAAAGAGTATAAAGAGCACCAAGAGGTTATGTTATGTTAGGGCCCTAAAACATAGGGACGTTTTTTTGAAGTTTACAAAATTGCATGTTGTTGCTATAATTCAAAGATGGGGACAGTAGGATCTGCTGTTACATATATGTACGTCTAATGAACTCCAGCTCTGCTAATGTAGACTATAGATGGACTTACATGGATGGTACATGCACCCATCTGACTGGCAACATAATACATGTGCTCAGCCTGCTAGCCCTATGCAGATTAGGAGAAGACAGAGACAGGCTCCTGAATGATAATTAACACTTAGACTGACAGTGTTGAAGGACTCCATGTACTCAGGGTTACAGTGGGTGTTCCTCCTGCCAGACCTTCATGTCAGAGAGAGGGGAAAACTGTAGAAACTTGTCTGACTCTATTGTCTGTCTCCACTCTCTAACAGCCCTGCCCAAGCAGCCCACCTCCCTCATTGTGACAGAAACCACAGCCACCAGTGTCACCCTGACCTGGGACTCTGGCAACCCAGAACCAGTGTCCTACTATGTTATCCAGTACCGCGCCAAACTCTCTGACAATGGCTTCCAGGAAGTAGATGGAGTAGCCACAACCCGATACAGCATTGGTGGTCTCAGCCCCTTCTCCGAATATGAGTTTCGCGTGATGGCTGTCAACAATGTCGGCCGGGGTCCTCCCAGCGGCATCGTGGACACGCGTACAAGTGAGCAAGCACCCTCATCGCCTCCTCTTCGCGTCCAGGCTCGCATGCTGAGCTCTAGCACCATGCTGGTTCAGTGGGAACCTCCAGAGGAGCCCAACGGCCAGATCCGGGGCTACCGAGTTTACTACAGCTCAGAGCATGAAACCCCGCTCAGTGCCTGGCAGAAACACAACACGGATGACAGCCAGCTCACCACCATCTCAGGTCTAACCACAGATATCACCTACAGCCTGAGGGTACTGGGCTTCACATCTGTTGGAGACGGGCCTCCCTCTGATGTTCTGCAGATCAAGACCCAGCAGGGAGGTGAGAGCATGCTCACTAAGCACTACATTGCAATGGCACAGGAAATCTCTGAAGTTGTTAGTCACATTGCATTGTGTACCACAGGGTCCGATTTTTGCCCGGTGCTGGAAAGTGAGTCAAATACAGACGCAAACAGTGTTCAGTTGGTTGGGATCTGCAACTTTAGCACTAGATTCCACTGAATCCTACAAACTGGTTGTTAAAATCATTTCCATTTCTTTCCATTCTCGCTTTGTGGTTCACACGCAGTGTAATCGTTTTTTTTCGTACACTTTTGTTAATGTTAAATATGAATTGTAAAGATGATTTATAGCATTTTATGTTTTGGATTTTTCAAAATGTATATTATTTTTAATTCTTTTGGCTATAGTAATCATGTAGTGAAAATCTAAAATCGGTATCTACGATATCGTGACAACCCTAGTCCCAGGTCTACACAACACACTAATTGTGAGCAGTATATTCACACTTGAATAGTGGCAATAGAAAATATACTCCAAACAGTCAGTATTCATACACTTTGACTGTGCTGTTGATACACACAATTGGGCGGATGTAGCTCTGGAGGTAGAGCGGGTCATCCACTTATTAGAAGGTCAGCGGTTTGATCCCAGACTCCTCCCAATGCATGTCCAAATGTCTTTGAGCAAGAAACTGAAATTGCTCCTGATGCTGTGTATTGGTGTATGGATGTGTGTGTGAATGAATTAGTTTCTGTTTGTGATAAGACTTTGTCATCACTGTATGAATAAGTCCATTTACTATGCAGTGCAGTCCATTTGTCCTGCAATGCAATGCTCACAAGAAATTGAGGGGTGACTTGCAACTTAAATATGTTTTAATTGGCAGTTACATTCCAAAGTTGCAATTTCATTGAAATCCATCAGTGCATATTTTTTGGTACATTAATTGCAAAAACACTTTACTCTTAAAGATATCTTAGAGTAAATACACTATTAGAAACATTAACACCAACAAAACTAGCACTGTAACCAACAGTGTACAGCTAACTGTCATAGCCATCATGTAGCACCTCTAAATTACACCTCCATGGCTTCCATAATTATTGTGCAATTAGAAAGCAGTTTAATTGAGATTGACGCCTAGCTGGCGTTGGCACCAAGCTACATGTGTACTTGTGTTAAATGTGTGTGTCTGTGTAATGGACCCATGGAGAACTTATTGGTAGCAGCAGAACTGTGTGGGATAAATTTAGTCACACTGCGTTACACTCCCATCATTTTGAAACGGCAGAAAAACAGAGCTGTAATGTGAAACATTAGTCTGTCAAATATTCACCAGCTGAGATGAACACAGTGGGTAATTTATTGCACAAGAATACTCAGGAGCATATACAGTATGCGTGGGCGTGTGTGCAGTGTGAAGGTCTCACACATTTTATCCTCAAGGACAAAGTGGCTGCCTGCACGTAGAGGAATAATAATAGTATTTCATTCACAGTGAGGCTGTTTTTTAGTGTTCTAAGTTTACTGTGCTCGGCAGAAAGAAACATGACATCACAACAGGGCTGCAATAGAAGATAAAGCCACCCAAATTCAGCTCACCCACTTTATTCATTTGTGGAATCAAGTTAAGCACCCCTCCTGGCTGACATAAATTATAAGTCTTTCAACCTGTTGTTTTATCAGCATATCCTCATATAACATTTTCCCAAACATGCCATCTGTTATGTGGCCATCTACTATATACTGTATCATATCATCAGGAGCAAAATAATCACTGGTTTATTACTGGCAACTTTTATAGGAGCCTTCAAAGCAACACCTACACTTAAATCTCATTTGGCGCCTATTCAAATATTGAAAGTTTAGAGTGTCTAAGGGCTTACAACATTATGATAAAAGTATATGATGGCCATTCCCATGCTCAGTTATGTCCTATAATAGGTTGCAGATGTTTTTTGGTACCATTTGTTACACAGATATGGTGCAAAATCTAACACCAAAACCTTGTGAAACACCATTAAAAAAAGATTCATGCTGTGATTTTATATATTAAAAGGTTTTGACATTTGGAGATTTCTTTAAGAGTTGCATATTTTGGTAATTGGATGGCGAGTACTTTATCTTCTGGAAATTAACCCTGAAGCCTGTGAATGCCCTTGGTCTTTAGTTTGTGGCTGTGCAGTTTAATGGGGCTGGGATTATCCTAAAGGTCAAAATAGGTTATTTTATTCAGTGAGATTAAGTTTAAAAGATGGTCACACTAAAATGAAATTGCTACTAAGGGGTTAACAACATCACACATGTATACAATTGGGCTCATCGAATTAACAGTTTCAGCATTCCAATCATACCCAAACTTCATGGGATTAGCATAAAATTGGCATGTCTGTAAAGAGGAGACTTGTGGGTACTCATAAAACCCATTTTCATTGAGATATCTTGAGGTCAGCGATAAAGGGACCACTTTGAAAATGGCCATGCCAGTTTTGGAGCGTTATTAAGCCACCTTCTCTACTAGCTAGACATTACATGGTTGGTACTAATTTCGTATGATTTCCATATCTTCAGATAGCTGTACAGTGATAATGGTGTTTGGAGAAGCAGTGGCCTGCCATATTAGCGGAACACACCTCAAATTCGTCCTGGACATAAAACATCTGTTCGTAAATTAAATTCTTGGTTTCACCTCAAAGGGTTTAAAAGTGATAAAATCCTTTAATACTTCCTCAGTTTCCTGTTCTGAATACTGGTGAGCTCCTCTCTATGCCGGCCTCCCACTTCACCTCCGGACTTCCTAACTTTGTATTTCCACTTTTGAATTCTTCATTGTCTCTGTTCTTGACTGTTATTTCTTTATCCCTTTGTTTCTGCCTCAAGTTCCAGCTCAGCCATCTACTTTTGAGGCCGAGACTGAGCTGGACTCACAGATCATGCTCTCATGGCTTTGGCCTGTCCAGGACCCTATCATTGGCTTTGAACTGCTCTACTGGGAGGCCAACAATCCCACAGACAAGGTAAATACCACATTTAAAAGGTAGGTTGATGGGATGAATGTTTACAAGATATCTTTTTGTTGTGTTTACCTCAGGATGAGTTTGCCAATTATGAGATAGTCTTCACTTTGTTTCCCTCAAACACAGCCTTAGATCCATGTTATGGATAAACACAAACCAGCGTTTTTTCAAATCGGACCTGCCAGGGGGTGCCTACGATCATTTGAGGGAAGATGAGGGAAAATGTTAAATAAATAATAGAACAATAAATACAATCTACTTACTAATCACCTGACTGTGTATTATTATAAGATACAATTATCTTAACATATAAATATGTTCTTTGTCATGCCCATCTTTGTAATTGCATAAACAGTCAGTGTTGACCAGTCTGCACCTGCCAGGAAGCTGCTGCTCCTGTAATTTAGTTAGCTAGCTTGCCTACTAGCAAATGCTTTTGAATGGAATAATGAAAAATAGAAATATTGAATCTAATGTAATGATTAAAGATATTACATGCAAATGTGATAATTGTTGCATAATAAAAGCCGTGAGCTAATGCTATTTGGGGGACCCTGGCTTGGAAAAGTTTTGGAACTTCTGCCCTAAACTACACCTGCATCAGTTTCTTCTGATTTGATTGGATTTATCAGTTAAGCACATAAGAAGATTTGACTAAGTTACCTTCATGATCTCATGGCTTTCATCTCTCCACAGCATCGTGTCATTTTCGACCCAGCAGGCTACTATGCAGTTGATGGTCTAAAGCCGGATACACTGTACATGTTCTCCCTGGCAGCAAGATCTGAAATGGGTTTAGGAGTCTTTACCCAACCTATTGAGGCCAGGACCGCCCAATCCAGTAAGTACAGCCTTTAGCCTTCTGATGTCACTTTGGTTCAGGTTATTTGGTCAGGATGAAAAGAAAAATATCCATTGCTTTTTAGTTCTGGTCAGTTTTATGTTTAAACCAACTTATTTCAATGAACCAAGAGGAGTAAACATGAGGTCACATCAGTAAACGGGTAAGTCATTTATTGGACAGTGTTGGTGAGGTCATCCTGCATCACCAGTTCCTATATGGACACCATTTAGATGACTGACAGCAGGTCATGCTGCCCTTTAATGTATGGCTGCAGCTTTCAGAGCACTTAATCACTGTAGTTTCACTGGATTGATGAAAATAGGAGCCTATCCCTTTCGTCAGGTACACATGAGACGGATGACTAAAAAACTCCATGCTGTGAGACTATTGTCAACCAAAGGCATATCTCCAGTCAGGCAGCAAGGCTTAGTGGTAATTAAATACCCTAGAGCAGGGGTCTCAAACTGCCGGCCTTGGAGCCATTTCTGGCCCTCCATCTCCTTCCCTCTGGCTGCAACATGATGCCAATATAATATAATCCTGGTTGCAAGATTTTTATATTTTCTAATTTAAATTGTTTTTTTCTAGTTATTGTATATCAATTTAAACTACCCCTTTATATACAATGAAAATTAAAACACTATTTCAAATAAAGTATTTGATAATAAATAATGGCAAGGTGTCAAGAAGAAAGCAAGTTTCAAGCCTTCATACAACAAAGATGATAAAATATGATATGTATAGAAACTGCTGTTTGCATATTTTTGTTCAGTGTGATGTTAGTAATGGAAATAGTTTCAGAATATTGGGCTTTCTTGTAGGACTGGAATGTTGAAGTGGCCCTCCTGTGAGATGACAATATCAGCAGTGGCCCCAAGACTATTTGAGTTTGAGACCCCTGATCTAGACATGCAATCATTTTACCAGTACTGTTTGTGCTGTGACAGCCAGTGTGAAAATCTGCTTAGGTTGGAGTGCAGTACAAAAAGGACCTTTAGCACAGCAGCCACCAGGATTGCCTCCAGTTCTTCAATGAAGGGTTTTCTTTTTCTCTCTCTGATGGAGTGGTGGTATGCAAAGCAGGTGGTAGAAACAAACAGACCTGTTTCTAAGATGCTGCAAATAACTTTTTTCCCCACATTTTTGCTCCTCTATTTAGGGTGTACTATTTATTTTTTCTATGTACCAACTCACAATGTACATGTAAAGAGGTGGATGGAAAGCTTTAAGTGTGATGCATTAAAACACTTGTGAGTAGTGTCTCTTGTGGAGTGTCTGTTAATCTTCCATTAAAGTGTAGCTTAACTTAGCTCACATGATTGTCTTGTTGCATCATAGTGATTCAAGCACATACACATTAAATAATGTGTGTAGTGGCTTTAGACTTTACTCACCTTGGCATTACAGTATAATGATTTCAATGAATATGAATTGATACATGATTCAAGGAGAGGTTGGAGGATTTGAGACTCCTGACGTGATTGTTCTTTGTCATCTGTTTTACAAATGTAAGTAGAGATTTGCTTTTATCCAGAGCTTTGTAACTCTGACTGTCAGCTCAATAAGGTGGCAGAACCTCCTATTCTGAATCAGCCATTTGTGTGTGTGCTATTACAACACAGTAATACTAGCTGCAGATGCACTGTGTGGCTCACAGAACTGTGTAATTGCAAATCTCAAGTGTCAAACTCTCAAAATGTAATCACTAGTGTAGCATTAATGTGTACACTTTTTTTCCACGTGTCAGTCACGCTTGATTTTGCTGAACATGCAACTCGATTACAAAGTTCAAGCACCAAGGCGACATCAGAAGAAAATTCTACAGCATTTTTTTTGTCTGCCATAAAATCTATTGTGTTAGCTAAGCCATCGTTCATAGGCACACTGGTATTGCTTGATATTTTTATATATACATTTTTCCTGCTCTCCGTCGCCTTTGCGTAACAAATAATCTGGCATTGCACATTTTGACAAATAGTCTAATAAAGGCACTGAGTCAATACATACAGTATATATTATGATGTAAGACCAAGAAAGCACAAACAGACCGTTGCACAGAGAGACAGCTTTTATCATGACTGTCAGGCTCCTTCAAAATGATAGTTTGTCATGTAAAACATCTCATAGCGTGTGCTGTTTTGCAGGACTTTGAGTTTGCTGTTCAATCACTCTTCCCACACTGACTAATACTATTGACCACCTTTAAGTCACAGCTTGACTGCATATCGAGCATTGGATATATCCTCTCTGGCATGATATGGACTTGAACCTGCAATATTTATGACACCTCCGAGAAGGAATCTAAGCCCACTCTTAACTATTTCTTTTATCTGTCAGGAGGAAATCCCTGAACTAGCAGTCACACCACAAACAAAAGAGTTTAAAACTAGAAACTTTGATTTCCTGTTTCTCATCACTCCTTTGGCAGGCAAACCCATCATGTCAATAAACTTGCCAACCCAAAGACCCTGACCCTAGCTGTCACTTGCTGCTTGTCCAACTCCCTCCATCTTTTCATCCATCTGCCAATCTCTGTCATCTTTGTTTTGTTTATTTACTGTATGTATCTGAAGTTTCTCAGGTTCTAATTCTTAAACCTGACAGGCCGTCAGAGGAGATGTGCTACAAAAGAGGCGATCTCATCACGTTTTGTTTTCAGCAGTGGTAGGCTGTCACAAGACACGTTAAAACGAGATAATACACCTGAATACACATGGTTAGTTCAAAAGTACCTCTGTGCTGCTACAAAGAAGATCTGAACCACCTTTTTTTTTACCACCTTTACTTTTTTAAATGAATAATGATTCCAAAATATGGAGAGATTTGTAACAGTTCATTCACTTCAGTTTGTTCCAGGTTTAATTTATAACATGTAAAGGTTCCAGTTGGGTAACTTATATATAACAAGAAGTTGTGTGCATTATCACTGAGGCATCGATCCAATATATCAAAGATACATTTGAAGCTCCTGCAAATGCTATACAATACGATTCACCCCTATTGTAAGGCAGTGCAATTTGACATGATTTAATTCAACACACTTGTGTGATTGTTTGATATGCTGATGGTCTTGAGCCCAAAAATCTATAGAAGAGCTTTAAATGTTCAAGAAAACCAACCAGTTTTTATCCAAGGCTGTTGTTTCAGATGGTGATGAAAAGATGGGTTTGTTTTCCTCTACATACATAGAACTTTCCAGTGAGATCTGACCCTTCAATCAATGCAGTCTGCCCTGTTTCTCAGCATGACACCATTTTGTTTTTATCCCAGTAATATCTCCTTTTCCTTGTGGGGTATCATTCTTTTTCTGTCCAATTCTTAATTCATTTCTCTCATAGACACCCACCTCTACTCCAAGTTTTGGTATTTTTCATAACCCTGTGTCTATTTGCGACTTTAATTGGCTGCAGTGCATCTCCCACACGTGGATCTATGTTTGTGTTTGATCTATTGCATCTCTGCATGGATGTATCTGAAGGTTCTTGTGTGTGTGATGGAATTACGGCTGTTCATGCATGTCTCTTTCAACTCGTCACAAGCACCTCTGATGCAGGCGAACAAACCAGCCTCCAACACTGTTCAAAAGTAACCTTGCTGGGTCCACATGCTCTGCTGGGGCTGCCAAACCGCAGGCATGCATGATAACAGTCCCCTGTGTTATCTCTCCCACCTGCTTCACACTCATTTCAGCTGTTGGTTTTGCTGTTGTATTATGTTGTATTCTGTTCTTGTGTATCATTGTGCCTAAATGCATTCATCTGCAGTGTATCTGTTTTACTTTTACAGTTGGTGAAGCTTCACACTGTGCTAGTTCTGTGTCTATGTGAGATAACTGTTGTTTCACAGAAAGGTACAGTATGAAGTTTCACCCTTGTTTTTGTCTTCCTTCTGGACTGTAAAGATCGTGTAAAACAGGGTGAAAACCCAAGCTATTGATTCACTGAATATTTAATGTAGGTCAATGATTTTGTTAATGTTTATGAAGAAATCACCTTTATTCTTCAATAAAATACACAATTACATAATAAACCCTAAGAGTTAACCATCCAGTCAATAGTTACAACTGATTTGATTATCATGGTTTGTAGGAAACATTAAGGTTATTAGTGAAATCTGAGAACTATAAAAAGAGGCGTTCACATCATGACTGACAGCTGAGCCCTGCTTGCAGTTTTGTCGCCCGGGTGTACGGGCGGAACCTCGATACAGTGAATATTTTGGCTCAGTACAGAGTGGAGGCGCTTCATCACTCTTTATACACTGTCTATGATTCAGACAGGTTGGAACAAACCTTTCAGTTAGTCAATCTTCTCTGGGAGAGAAAATGAAGGTGAACAGTCAGTTGTAGACAACTTTTCTGATTCAACTTAATAACCAACATTTTCAAGTTTCACTTTCAGTTTGACCTCCAAATAATAATTAATAATATTAAAATAATTTAACATAGCGCACTGCAATTATATTTTCTCCCAAGCATAATGGCAAATCTGTGTAGTAGGATAAAAGCAAAATGTATAGGATTTATAGGCTAGCCAGCCAAACCCAACTCGTCAGTTTCTGTAAAACATAATCACATTATCTCAGCAGTCCAGATGGTCAGTTGCACTGTCTTCCATTATCCACCCTGCTTGACCATTACCCTCCCTCCTCCCCTCCCATCAGCCCCTTCAGCCCCTCCCCAGGAGGTACACTTACTCAGCCTCAGCTCCACCAGCATCAAGGTGAGTTGGGTGGCGCCGCCCACAGACAGCCGCCATGGGGAGATAGTGTGCTACTCCCTGGCCTTCCAAGCAGTCACAGGGGAGGATGTGGAAAGGCACCACGTGTCAGGGATTGGTGCTGATGTCACCAGCTATGTGCTGGAGGACCTGGAGAAGTGGACTGAGTATTTGGTGTGGGTGAGGGCTCACACTGACGTTGGGCCCGGCCCGGAGAACCCTGCAGCCCGCATCAGAACTAAGGAAGATGGTATGTTGATGGTGTCATAGGGAGCAGCCTGGGCCTCCCGGGAAATACTAACCCTCCACTACTCACTATGCTCCTCTCCTGCTGCTGCAGTTTCACAAACTCTAACTATATGTGTGATGTATGTGCAAAACAGAGTGACACCTTTAACACTGACATTTACTACAGAACTTACCCAACACTGGTTTAGTTGCTGTCATAACTGCAGAATTTAAAAGTTTCTAACTGACTCTATGTGGATAGTTTAAAAAAGACCCTTCCCAACACTATTAGTATTAGCAGTAAGCAGTGGTTGCTAGAGCCTGGATAAATGATACACACAAGTTGTATGAGTTTTAAAGATTATGTTCGACCAGTCAGAGATATCCAGTGCTGCAACTTGGACCCACAAAAAGGTCTACCTCTGAACTGAGGTTATGGGGTAATGGCACTGCTGCCAAGGAACTAAAACTAAAAACAAGGTTCAAGTGATTGAAATGTGGATAAAGTTAGTCAGTTGCTGAAAAGGTTCCTGGGTGCCTTGAACAGCTCATTCTAAGGTAGTAAAAACAGAAGATATTCCATTTCTGAGAATACATCCTCCTAAATGTTACACACTGGAACTTTAATTAATAAAATAGACATTATCCCTAATAATTAAGTCACGTGAAGTCAGTCATTCTAGATTATTGTTCAGCATGTGACGGTAGTCGGGTGCAAGCTTTCCTTGCTCTTTCTGAAACATATTTAATGCCATACCTGTATACTTGCTATACTATAATATTGCTATCTCTATATTTTGTGATGGAGTGATGTGATCACAAGACACAGCACAAGCTTTTCACAACATTTTGTGAGACCGTTTTGTGAGACTTTTGCCTCCACTGATCTTCTGCCTGCCCCTCTCTGCCTGTCTCTTTCCCAGCATGATGACATGGTTTTAGCCTACTGGACTGCTGCCCTGCTAGGCTAAGGTGTCTGGAGAATTGCCTGAGTGGCAACATGACATGCTCTTTCTCTGTCTTCAGTCAGATAGTGGGTCTGAGGCACTAGCTAAATGGCCACTATGATTCAGTCCATAGGGATGCTCTGCCATTCGTCACTGCTGAAGACAGCTCAGAGACAGAATGCAGCACAGCCTCACAGCTTTAAGACGGACACCATTACAACAAATCCTTACAAGACAATTCACCTTTTTTTGTGAGAGCACAATTGGCCATATCATGACCAATGAGTGCAAAGAGTAATGGCCTCTTTTCTGGAGCCACTAGAGGAAATCAGAAGTATCAAAAGATGAATCTTGGACAATGTCATGGAGGCTTAGAAAGTATAGCAGCATAGTGTGGAACCTTTCCTGTGTTAGAGCTCACTGTTCTGACCAGCTCAGGCCCCTGACTGCTTACAGATGAACTCCAGCTCCGTCTTTGTCATCATCCTGACTCCTTCCTTTCATTTTCCTTTTAATCGTGTTAGTCTTACCAATGTCTGGATTAATTTGATTGCCTCATGCTCTTATTGTATTTAAATTGTCTGTGTCTGTATGGTTAGTATGTATGAGAAGCAAATAGACGGGTTATGTTGTGTTTATTTCTATGACTTAAAAAGCAGATTCATCTTCTCTCTTTTCATTGAACTGTTAGAATGACTGAAGCTGTCTGAAGTGGTAAAACGTGTTTTTATATGGAGTAAGATAGCTATCAAAAAGATGTGTGCATGATTCTAACCATTCGTATTCGTAATGTTAAACATTTGTATGTCAATAAAATTGTTGTACACAAAATTCTGCTGTCATATACGGGAGTCTGAGAAATTTAGGTTAGGATTGTTTTTATGGGAGTATGAACCTAAAAGCTGTGAGTGCAAAGTCTTGTGAATACAACTCTAATTTCTACGACTACGAAGTCTTCACTGTGAACACAAATTCAAGTTTGTGGGTACGAGTAGAAAAGTGTTGAAATGACGTCACGTAGGTCACAGGCAGGCCACAGGGGGAAATAATCGAACCCCGATTCCTCAAAACATGCATGCGCCAAAGCCAAAGATGGTTGACAGTTAGGGTGGCCATTCGTCCGGCTTTAGGCCGGACAGTCCGGCTTTTTAATGCCCTGGCTTATTGCTAAAAAGCTGTATCAAAATAAATAATTTCATTGGTTACATTTTCTTCTGACCTATCAACACATGGCTAATTTTAATATTCAAATAAGCCATGTGTTGATTTGCCACTGATCACTGCAGTTGCTACCACCAGGCTGTCAATCAAGCTCTCAGACAGAGAACAAGGTGAGCTAACGTCGGTTGTTGGACTGAAATTCTGAAAATGCTCATACTCATATGTAAAGGCAAATCCTATACATCTGAAACAGAAGGTGCTGTATTTTGTTTACCCTTTATCTATCCAGATAAAAACATTAAGAACAGTTTCTGTATGATGTTTATTAGACCTATGTAATCTGAATTGGAAGGGCAGTTGTCATGAGCTGTATCTTGTATATTTATTATTAGCTATGTGGTATGTGTATGCACCTTTATGTAATCTGGTGGAAAAACATATTGAAATTTAAAACCGGATCATACCAAACAAATATCTGCTTGCGTGTCCCTGTGTATGCAAAGTGTCCTCCTTTTTGATGTGAAGGAAATGGCCACCCTTCTGACAGCAGTGGACCGGGTGGAGCTGCCAGCTCAGGTGAAGCATCACAGAGAGGGGGTTGTAGCCGATTCCGTGGTCTGTCGTTACTGCCACTAAGGGCGTTAGAGACACTGGTCGCGACCAGTTGCTCTCTCTACCCATCCGCGGTATAGACGCTTACAGAAACTTCCATCCATTCCATCCAAAGTAAATTAACAAAAATAATGCTGTATGCATGTCTGATAAATATATATTTGTCTGCGTATGTTTACAGAACTGCTAAAATTTGTCTAAAACTATGACAGTGTCAATGTCTAATTGTGCAGCTAACATAACTAACTAACTTCACTTTATACTTTTTGTCCTAATAATGTTGCAACATGATTCCGCGATCAGGTTAATATTGTAGTGATGGAAGTTTCTGTAAGCATCTAGAAGTGCCGCGGATGCCATCTTTGGCTTTGGCGCATGCGTGTTTGGAGGAATCGGGGTTCGATTATTTCCCCCTGTGGCCTGCCTGTGACCTACGTGACGTCATTTCAACACTTTTCTACTCGTACCCACAAACTTGAATTTGTGTTCACAGTGAAGACTTCGTAGTCATAGAAATTAGAGTTGTATTCACAAGACTTTGCACTCACAGCTTTTAGATTCATACTCCCATAAAAACAATCCTAACCCAAACAATTTCTCAGACTCCCGTATATGACAGCAGAATTTTGTGTACAACAATTTTATTGACATACAAATGTTTAACATTACGAATACGAGTGGTTAGAATCATGCACACATCTTTATGATAGCTATCTTACTCCATATTTTTAAAGCTGGTGGAGATTCATTAGTTAATCCCAGCATTCTAGGATTTTAGGGACTAAGTTCTTACATCAGTACATTGTGTAGTTAACATATGACATGTCAAATACATGATACTGATGACACTTTTCCCATTTCACCTTCTGAAAAAAAAGCAAAGAAAAGGCATTTCCCAAAATGTTAAGATATTCCTTTTATGCAGCTATGTGTATAATTTAAAAAAAATCTAAAATTTGGCGCTGTTAGTGGTAGTATTCAAAATAGTAATAGTAAATAATTGGAACATAACTATAATTCCATAGTACTTCTACATACAGTGGTGTAAAATTGTTTTAATCTGCTTAACCCAAACCTACATATTTTTTCAAAAACTTAGTTTAGTTTAACTCTATTTTATTATTATTATTAGCTGTACAATGATCTTACCCTTTATTGAATCCCAGCATATGTTGTTTTTTCATGGCAGCACTGTCTCATGAGTTAAACCCCAGGACTGTTGGATTTTAGAGACAAATCTAGATGTGTTTAGAGCTCTTTCCTTCCTCCTCCAAAGCATTAACCCTCTCCACCTGCTGTCATTCTCTCTCCATCTTGATTCTCTCTCTCACTCTCCCACCACACTTTGTTTCTGCACACCCGCTGAATTTTAATCTCACACTCTTTTCATCTCTTTCCATTTCTCTGCACACCATTTGACTTTGAGCTCTAGTCAATGACTAGATTTTTGCAGCATCTGTCCATTCTGTAGCAGCTTTCTCTGAGTTCTGCCCACAAATCTTCCTTCCACTGGTGCCTGAGTATCAATACACATTCTCATTCTGACACCTACATTGGCTCACAACACAGCTCTGAAGGCTGCTGGCTATATTCACTTATTTTTAATAACTGTAATGAGGCCCACTCTTTATAATCAGTGAGATTCAACATATTTTCCAATACTATATGGTGTAGATAGTATGGGTACAGAGTAACAGCAAAAATGTAGCATATTTCTTTCAGACCTCTGCTTCCACTTTTGAACTTTTAATCACCTCTCTCTGGGGTTTGATTTAGGCCCGCCTCTTTGACATGCGTCAAATCTTTCCCTGCAGCCTTGAGCCAGCTAGCCCTCTGTGTGAGTGTTGTGCTCTAGACACAGAACTACAGTCACGAAGATCAGACTCACAGATCTCACCTCCTTTCATGGAAATAGAACCGTGTGAGAGGGTTGTAGGAAAAATGCATGGGTTTAAACATTCTTGGTGGATTCATAACCATGTAAACTTGACAATGAGTGTGTTGGGATACATTTGAGGATACATAGAACACAAAAGATAGTATATATTTTTTCCTATTAAAGCAAACTGACAAGCAATCACTAGTCACCCTTTGCTGACGCAGGAGTCCAGAAATTAAATATGTGCTCCACTCCAGATTTAACATTTAACATTTAGATTTAACATTTAGATTTAACATTTAGATTTAGATTTAGATTTAACATTCAGATTTAACATTTAGATTTAGCATTTAGATTTAACATTTAACATTTAGGTGTAACATTTAATATTTGGATTTAACTATTTAAAATATCTCTAAGTTGACAAATTTTGTTGTAAATGTGCAAAAAAGTGACCCTCAAAAATTCATACCAGTTTTTTAAACATTGTTTGAAGCTAAATGTGACAAAATGTTGCTGTTATTTTCAGCGTGAGCCGCTTTACAAACGGCACCCCATAAGTTTGGGGGCCCCTATCTACAGCAGTACATTGTTCTGCTTCCATGCTGGTTATCTTGTCTGCTCTCCAATCTGGGGGCATGCTGACCGCCATCTACTAGTTATTTATAAGTACTTCATACAACCTCAATTGAAAATATCCCTGTCAAGGTTTATTCAGTGATCATTCCGGTTTTATAAGATTGCTTTTTCTGTTGGGTTTTTTGTTGAGAAAAACAGCTGTTTTAAAATTGAAACACATGCAAGCTAGGTGAATGGTACCCTTGCTAAATTCATCAATAAGAATTGAACAATTACTTTTAATTAGTGCTGTCAGTTAAACGCGTTATTAACGCCGTTAATGTAAACCCATTTTTTTTTTTTAAATGTTATCGCAAGATTAATTTTCTTTTTGGCCTAGCACACTTTGTAGTTTTTTTCACATGCTGTTGCAACAACTAGTAATGTTAGAAAAACTACAACACCACACCGGTTCTAGCTAGACCGGAAACAAAACAACAGGCACGCCGCACACACTTGTTTAAGAGTAGTAGACGTTACGTTTTGAGTGGATGGCGAGCGCGAGACGCCGAAATGGATGCCTATAATATTCTGAATGGAAAGTTTACTTTTAAAAAGTTGCCAAATGGTTCCATTGACAAGACCAAAGTGATCTGTGTGTTTTGTCGTTGTGAACTGAGCTATCATCGCAGCACGTCCAGTCTGAAATACCACTTGATGGCCAAGCACACAGCTGATGCGAATTCTCCGCCCCCTCGTCAAAGCCAGGCGACAATGGATGACTTTTCAATAAAAACAACATTTGCACAAAGCAAGCTGATCCACTTTTCCATGTTGATAAGAGCATTAAAATGAGAAAAAATAATGGGACAAAAAGAAATCAAGGGACATTTAGAATAGATAAAAATGTGCGATTAATTGAGATTAATTGCGAGTTAACTATGACATTAATGCGATTAATCGCGATTAAATATTTTAATCGTTTGACAGTACTACTTTTAATTTGTCACTTATCTAACATGTATACTATCAAGGAGAAAGTAATCAAATCAGCTCCTGCCTTTGACTGCCAGATACTGTATATACTTAATATTTCCTGCAAGCTTTTGAGTGGGTGGCGTTCAAAGATGTGAGTCAATGCAAATGAACCACAGCAGCATGTTGAAGTCGCTCAGGTGGTGAATTTCTTTAATCCAAGGTATGCAGAAGGAAGAGAATGATGCTGGCAGACACACACTGGACACAGTGTGAGAGATACAGAGGAGACAATTAGTGGCTGCCTCAGCATTTGACAGCTGCTGCAGAGAATCCCTAGCACCCACACACATGAGCTGGCTTCATGCTGTCAGTCAGGACAGCCCTACAAGTTTAAAACCAGCATGGCCTCACAAAGTCTGCATTAAGCATCACCCATTTCCACATTATAGTTGGAATTAATAAAAAATGCATTTATGTTCACACCTACGGTGCAATCATGTTTCAGTGAAATCTTACAAAAGTCCCTGCAGACAAGAAGACCTTTACAAAATGGAAATCAGGCAAGCAAGTAGATACAAAAGACAGCTCTCATAGAAATAAAATCAACACTAGTCCACATCCATAGCTGAGATGTAGATGGTCTTGTTATCAAGTTTGAACCTATCGTCTCGTAACCCATTGGTTTGTGGAATACTATTTTGAAGCCTTGAGGTTGGCGTTATGGTCGTCACCATGACAGTTTGTCAGAGCCAGCGGAGGTGATGTACTGCAAGTTGCCCTCTTGGCTGTGCAGTTTCGACTCATGACTAGCTGGAAACAATGGTGGCTCTCCTGGTCACCCGTCCTCATATTCCAGATAAACAGTACACTAAAATATGTTTATGAAAAGGTCTGAGGTGAGAAATAGTCAACGCAGTAACAGAATGTAGATTCATATTTAATCAGCACTGCCTAGTTTGACAGTTTGATCTGAGTTTGGTGCGTTGAGCTGGACGGACTCTCTGAGAATGACTTGCTACTCACAAGATAGCCACGCCCTAAAGCAAACCCTGCTTCATCGTCTATTTTACTCTAAATGGGACCAGAATTAACGAAATGAACATCATGCTTTATGTAAGAAGACTGAAACTAGAGATTGATACCATAAACTCATTAGCAAACTGTTTACTGAGCTCATAAATCAAGTCAGAAGTTTGCTCATTTCAAAAGACACGATATGATATCTAAATTATTTTTTTGCAGCCAATGGGGCTGCCCTCTTCTGGCCATTAGAAAGAACACTTCACGTACATACCGGTTATCATTTTCTAACTAATTTGAATTTATAAATAATTAGAATTAGAATTACACACTGAAAACATGTATTAATATTATTATTATTATTATTATTATTATTTATTGGCAGCCTTTAGACTCAGCTCATTTCTCCATAAGACTGCATGCTATCTTTTTTATTGCAGCCCATGGAGCTCACCCTGCTGGCCATAACATAGAGCACAGGTTTAAGACACTTCCACGTTGGCTTCACTTCACAGACCCAGAAGCTCTATTCATTAAATATACTGTGAATGATCATTATACATATATGATTTATGATTCAAATCCACCACTGAATCCAAGCTAGCTATAGCTAACTATCCTAGTACTACAACTAAAACTACGTAGTTTTGCTCAGCATCATCAGCGCTCATTTAATTCAATTAAATTCAGTTTTATTTGTATAGTGCCAATTCATTCATTATCTAGAGTCAGTGTTTGGTTTGTCCGTTCTGGGCTACTGTAGAAATATAAAAGGGTTCAACATGGTGGACTCACTCCCTCTGTAGATAAAAACAGCTCATTCTAAGGTAACGAAAACATAATAATTCTTATTTTCAGGTAATAGTACACTAATGAAAACATACCTATGAATATTATATTCCATTTCTGACAATAGATCCTCCTAAATGTTACACACTGGACCTTTAAACTGTTCTGTCCAAACCCAGTCGTCATGATTACCTCAGTGTATTCATGTTCAATGCCAACGTTCAATGGCAAATCTGGATTGTGATTTGGCTTGTAGTGTGTCTGAAGGTGGAGACACAGAACTGAATTAATGTTCACGTTTTAATTGTATGTAACTGCAGTGTTTCTCTAACCTTAACCACTACTGTACCTTACCATAGTTTGTTTACCATTGTCATAATATTAATCCCCTAATTTCAACTATCCCATGGTTTTCATGCAGATATTGTAGAAATTAAAAATTGTTAAAATAAAATTGGTATTGAATGTTATTGAGGGTTTTGCAGAATAATCCATTGTTGTTGCCCAAGATAAATGTATGTATTTCCTGGCAACTAGTGCTAATTTCAATCCAAGGCAGCAGACTGACTTCAAAGATCTGTTAGTTACATGGTTCTTTTGTTCTTCTTCCACACTGCACACATTGTGCCTTTGTGTTTTGCTGTTAACACAGAAGTTTATTGACATTTTTTCTCCAAAGCTTGAAGCCTGATTCTGGAAGCTTGCTGATAGTATATGAGGTTAAACGATTATAATTAGTCTAAAGTGCATAGTGCTGACACCAAGTTCCAGAGCTTTTCTTTTCTTCTCTTCTTCCTGCTGTACTGTGTGGTACTCGAGCTGCTTTAACACTTTTCTCTCCATGCTTTAATCTCTTAATGCATGCCATTTTAACCTTTAACGCTTCATTTCCTCTCCTCGTCTATCGTGAATTCCATTAATATTTGCGTAGCCTCATTCAAATCAAGTCAGATTTGTATTCATTTACCTCTCTATTTAAAGCTGACCAAGCATTCTAGAAAAATCTTCATAAGCTCAATATTCTGTAAAGTAGAATAAAACCTGCTCCCAGCATTCTCTTGGGGTTCCATGTGACAAGCTTTGATGTGTTTAACCTGCAAATATAGCTATCAACTTTCATATTACCTTGGAACTTATCCAGGCCTCTCATCAAGGAAGTTATTTTCGCTCAAAAACTGTGTATTAAAGCTGCAGTAGGTAATTTTTATAAAAATAACTTTGTCATATTTTTCAGCTGTAAGTTATTTTTATAAAAGTTACCTACTGTAGCTTTAAAAAATAGAAGGCATATTGTATAAATAGTCTAAATGATCTTTTTTACATGTAGATCTGGACAAGGTTGAAGAATTGACCTTAAAATATAAGGACAATATTATAATTTATCATCCTTTCTAAACCAGGAATACAATTACCAACCATCCCAATCTACTGGCAATTCCCATATCCAGGATCAGGGTTAATCAGATTATTTTTACTTGATTGGTATTGGCTGGTCCAGATCCTATTCTGATCCTGTGTTTACTGTAGTCCTTAGAAAAGGAATAGAATAATTTCCTAACACGAGACACTGCCAGCAAGTCAACTAAGGCAGAAGAAAATAGGAAGAAATAAATAGCAGCACATAGTGCTTGAATGATATCCACACTGACAGTGTGCATCAGTGAGCAGTTTGAGAAAATCTGACATTGTGACATTTCTCTGCTGCACCACACTGCAACCTCTGTTTTGTTCATGCTGGAGATGAAGAAAGACAAACAGATAAAGAATCTATCTCTATGGTTGCTATAGAAAATACTCTAGGTCACTAGAAAATATTATATGAATCTACTGAAGGAAAGTTTTTATGTAAGCTATTTCTTTCTATATTGTTGAGTTATTCAACTGTCAAATTTATCTGAATATTGACAGATACAGAACTTTCACTATGAGAAACAACCAATCAGAAACAAAGAAACATTCAACTTTCCCTAAAGACCTTGTGTTGAAGTTGTGTGTGTCTGTTGTGTGTGTTGTGCTACAGTGCCCGGAGCTCCTCCCAGGAAGGTAGAGGCAGATGCCCTCAACTCCACTGCCCTTAGGGTGACCTGGAAGCCACCCCTGTCTGTAAAGCAGCATGGCCAGATCAGAGGCTACCAGCTGGTCTACTCCAGGCTAGAGAACGGGGAGCCTCACGGCCAGCCAGTCATCATGGACGTTTCCCTCCCTGAAGCCCAGGTACTGTCACTCTATCAATTGCTTTATTTACAAAATTACAATAGTTAAGGTGAAATGGAAATACCTCTTTGACCCTTTAAGATTACATTCCCATAGGTCATTGTACTTAACAATGTATGCCAAAATTGTACAAATCACAAAACAAGAGATTTTGGTGAAATTTGATTATTTATTTTACTTATTTCTGTAAACTGACAACATTTTGCTATCCATCCAACTTTAATTTTCAGTCTTACACAGATGCTTAGTGGAACCCATGGTTGCTGAGTGTTCACTGAGTGTTTAAGAGAATAAGAGTAAGAGAGTATTTTTTAAGGCTCTGAAATTGGCACTACATTCCTCAGGCCTAAAGAAATTATTATTATTAAGAATCTAAGACTGCCCTTAAGGAGCCCAAGCTTTTGTTTGTGGCTTATTTTTGTTCAGTTTATGACATGAAACATAACTATTTATTAATGCTTGCTCAAAATATCATGTTTTTTATTCCATATCCCTGAGAGGCTGTGTTTACATCTTTTCAATTACACAATCACTAAAATGTTTTATTTGTCAAGGGTGCCCACATTTGCATACAACTGTGTATATATTACATGTCTCGAAAGGGCCAACGCAAGATAAGGCAGTAAAGGACAATACTCTTTTAAGTAACATACAACTATCTATACTAAAGTTCAGCTCTCAACCAAACAAAATGTGATTTTAAGTAGGATTAGTGCATTAATTTTACAGCCATTTACACCTTAACTCCATTATTAGGGAAAATATGATAACTAATTAGATTGTAATGTGTCATTTTTATGTTGTATAAATGTACAGTATCATAATTAAGGAAATAGACTCCATGTAGTTGTTTTTTTCTTTGTTTTCGTATTTTTTATTACTTATATATGTATGGAGCAAATATATCATAAAACACAAGCTTTAAAGGAGAAATAAATATAGGAAATATATTTAAATCACATAACGTAAGGGTGAATGAGGTCATTAAATATTAATTAAATGAATTAACCTCACTATATGTCCATAAAAGAAGGGGTTTTATATCACGTCGGGCTTCACGTCGTAGGGTGTTAGAGTGGTCTAACTGCATTAGTTTAATCAATTAATGGTTATCAAAAATTAGAATTATCAAAAGATAATAGAAAATGACTCTAATTAATATTAAAGATCCTCGGGGCACCACCTTTAATAAGGGAACGATAACCAATAATCGATTGATCAGTCTCATAAAGAGACTGGTTGCGTGCCAAAAGGGTGTGTGTCCTTTGTCCTCCTTGATGTTTCAGGGTATGAAACATGTGTTGGTGAGAGACAAAGAGCAATAGAAAGGCGGGAGGGTTTGAATCCCTCCCCTCATAGGGCAGCTGTGGCTCAGAGGCAGAGCAGGTTTACTCAATCGGAAGGTTGTGGGTTCGATCCCCCACTCCTGGTGCCACGTGTCGAAGTATCCTTGAGCAAGATACTGAACCCCGAATTGCTCCCGATGCCGTGCATCGGTGTGTGAGTGTGTATGAATGTCAGTTTCTGTTCGATGGACTTTGCCATCACTGAGTGAATGTGTGTGAAAGGGTGAATGTGGCACGTAGTGTAAAAGCGCTTTGAGTGGTCGGAAGACTAGAAAGGCTATACGAGTACAGGTCCATTTACCATTTACCATTCATGTATGTGCTTAGACCGAATGTGTGTGTGTGATTTTAGATTAACGGTGCCGTAAAAAGGGATTTGCAAAGAGGATGTCTGTGTGAAGCATTAAACTAACATCACCTTAGCACTGTCTCAAGGACTACAGTTACTACAGTAACCTCAGTTAATCAAATCAACATCACAATACCACAGTAACCTGAATAAAACACATCGGCAACATTAACAATAATTAAACAGTCCTTGTTTAGCTGTTAACTCTGTTAAGTTATGTCTGTGCCCAGAACATTACCAACAGTCCAATGGAGATGAAAAAGAGTTGTGGTTGAGCTGCGTGGGTCAGAAGGCAGTCCTGTGAGCCGGGCTGATCAGGATTGTGGTTCTGAGGTCCAAACAGTCTCGGCTGTGTGATGTCGGCTGGTACAGATAGCAAGAGGAAAAGGCGTTTCGCTCGTTGCTGTGTGCTGGCCAGGGAACGCAGGAAGAAGCACGCTCTCGTGCTGTGCTATAATCCTTTGTCGTGCGTCGTCAGCGGGTCAGGCCGCGCCCAGGTCCAAAACTTATCACCCAGTGTGGGTGTGTGAGCGAGAAGCGAAGGGAGAAGAGAAGAGAGAGAGAAGAGTGTCTCTCTGGCTTAAATAGCCGGGATGACGGGTCTGGGGTCCGAGGATCTCTGACCAATGACGGGCCGGTGTTTGGGCGTTTATGGCCTTTAAACCACACCTTGCCCACATTCCTGGACCCCCACTGTGAGGTCTGTTATCTGGCGGGCTTGTTCCCTTTGTCTTTAGACTACTACAATCAGGCCTTTACTTTTACATACAGGCCGCTGTAGGAAAGACCATCTTCTTTGTGTAAAACACATGTGGCCATATTCCAACGTGGCCACATGTTCCCTTTCGTCCAGTTAAACACTTCAAATGAACAAGTTCATGTTTAAAGGTATCCTTGGATCCCAACACACAACAAAAAAATCTGATGAGGATCTTTCTTTGGGATCTGTGCAGCATGTGCCTTGCCAACCTAACATGCACAAAGGATTTCTTATCTTTTCCTGAAATAGAAAAGGGATGAAACAGATTAAAATAAACTGTGTGGCCTGCTGTTTCCTTATGAAAATGCATTTGTGATTAGATCCAAATGCGGTGACATTTTTACGATGAGATTGCACAAACAATGCCTCGTTATTTCATCAAAATAATTGCATTTCATGTTTGTTGTAGATCTTTTTAAGCCAGCCTACAGTGGTGGAAAATAGACACAAATAGGAATCTGTGAATGATAGAAAAACCTAGATAATCCTCTTTAGAAATGCAAAGGCATGTGTGCATATCTCTGTGTTTGAGAGAGTTCAATTGTACATTAAAGGTCATATATATGACATTTCCTTGCCACTAGATTTTTCAGTAGAGCACCAGGTTCTCAGACCAAAACAATGGATGGTAAACAAAAAAAACTCCCCAAAACTGTCTTTGTGACCTGGGCTGCAACGTTAATCCTTCAGGACCAATGAGCTTGCCAAAGTACGTCCTCTAGCAGTGCTTATTTTTGCCACTGACAGGCTCAGATTGTTATTCTAAGTGTCTGACAAGATTATGGAAAGGATCCCTACAGAGATAGAGCTTTTGTTTGAACACCACCAGACTACATAGACAGTCATTTTACCTTGCAGATCATCATAATATTTAATGTGGACAGAAACAAAATAAAACTCTGTTACTCTTTCCACTGTTCCAACAATCACCAACTCTGGTTTGGTTGAAATAAATCTTTAAATCACCGACGTAGAGGCTGCGATGGCAACATAGGCAGAGGGAGTGTGACATCATTCTCTGCTCAGGACACCATAACTCGCACATCATATATCACACACATATCACATTGTAGGTAGGTCCTCTAGTGTCATTTGTAGATGCACTTGCCATCAAAGTCAGGTGATGTAGTATGTAAGTAAGTGATAGTCCACCTATGAAGTTGTTGGGGTGGATGGATGGCTCAAACAAAAACAGGACTTTAAACCAGGACACCATTTGTGTCCTGTGTGAAACCAAAAGTAAACTATTGAAAAAAGTAAAATTTCTTTTAAGTAATGCACTTAAATTACATTAGGTACGTTGTGTAACTTACGATCTTTTCCAAAATTTTACAGTTCGTTTTTTTCGTAAAACCTATCCAGACTGCAGCTTTTTTGTTTATCACATTACATTTTTAATAAAACTACAGTGCTACAGTAACACAAGTAAATATAATTTGTTACTTCCTCCCCTAGTTCACAAGTTCAGACTGGGACTAGTTAACATGAGCAGCCATAATGGTGCGTTCGTTTTGTCTTGTAATCGCGACTTGCAGCTCGAGAGCGACGTCACATCCGTGTTGGAAAACGAGTAACCGCGGGTTTTTGCGTTCTGTTTGGCACACAACACGACTTGGTTGTAATAGGCAGTTTGGACGTTTCATAACGTTTATTGAACATTACATGTTCATTACATATTACACAATCATATTTCACAGTTTGATATCTGAATATTCTGTTTTGATTAACGTTAACGTTACGCTACTGCTCTGCTTTCTGCTCAAGACTCGGCATTGTTGTCATAGCAACATGGAGTGTCTCTAGCCAATTTCAGCTGCACAAGCTACAAAATAACTAATGAGGCGTATTTAACACATAATAAGACTGTAGCGACATGCCTATAGGTAACAGTATACAGTGCTGTGTGTACGACTTCTTCATTTGGTTACAACAAAGACAAATGTGCTTAAAATAGTAGAAAACCACAATGTTTACTAAGTGTGATGCTCGGAGTAGCCATCTTGGTAACTGAACTCGGGGTCCTCTGAGCTCACACGACTTAACGAGTCGTTTTATACGTCCTCGGGAGCGTTCTATTTGCAACTTCTGGTTCGTAACTCAGGAAACCGACTCGCAGATCGAGTCGGGTGGACAAAACGAACGCACCATAAGCAGCATGGCTGAGAAGAAAAAAATAAGAGCAACACCTACAAAATGTGTCACAGAAAGAAAGAAGGAACCTGACTGCTTGAACAACAAGAGATGAATCTTTGCAAAGAAGACAGGGTTAAAGAAGAAAAAGCAGTGTCATGGATTTGCATGTTAACAGCAGTAGGAATGAGCACTTGTGGGCCTACTGAAGCAGAAGACGAATTGTGGGTGTTTATAGGCACTCAGTTAGGTGGTGGTCAGCTCCTTTCCTCTCAGCTTTTTTTGTTCTCAGCGTCTCACCTGATTTCCTTTATAAGCAGCATTCCTGTCTTATCTGTGCAAGGCAGGAAGCCTGATAAAGGGCCTGCATCTCACGACTCATCTACAGCTGCTCTCTCTTAACAGACACGCACAC